TTTTCAAGAATTTGTGAAATCGAGTGTAGATGATCCAGTCCTACTCATTATGGATAACCATGTGACTCATTCAACTCTCAATGTTTATGAGTTTAGTAAAAGCAATGGTATAGTAATTGTAACAATCCCTCCACACACCTCACATCGACTCCAACCTCTGGACGTCTGTTTCTATGGCCCCTTGAAAGCTGCCTACAATACAGAGTGCGACAAATACTTAAAAAACCACCCACATGACAAAATTACTCCATTCGAAGTAGCTGAATTGTTTAGAAATGCCTTCATAAGAATTGCAAATAAACAAATTTTACAACTGAAAGCGGCAAAGAAACTCAACGCAAAAGCTTGTAGTACATCCATTTTCAAGAGGAAAGTTTTTACTGAATGTGTCGCAAAAAACAACCTAGAAACAGAAAAATCCAAAAAATTAAAATCACCAAGGGGCAACGCAAAAAAAAGTATAAGGTAGACAGTACAGATGAAGAAGATTGCGACGACACGGAAGATGATAAAGATATCAAAGAAATTATATATGTTCTGTATGTGGCGAATTCGGGAAAAACAGAGAATTTATGGCTCAAGTATTGCCAATGTACCAACTGGGCACACAAAGCGTGTGCAGACACCGAACAAAAAATACTTATATACTTTGTGATTATTGCCTGTAGGTAGGTAATTCGCATCGTAAAATGTACGGGGTAATAGTGTCACCCCTGCTACCATTACCCCAACTGTATGGGGTAATTGTAACCATACAATGTTTTTTTTTGTTTTTTTTTTAGAAAAAAGTTTTCTGTTTTCTTTATTTTCGAAAATATATTTATAGGTAGAAAAGTCTGATAAGTTTATTCCTATATTTTGGTGGAGATTCCTCATAAACTGAGCTCCAGATTAGGGGGCCACAATTCCCCCGGTCTCCCCTATCGTTAAGACTCGATTCGTCATATACAGGTTGAGGTGCAACGAGTTTACGTTACATTGATGAGGACCGTACTACAAATTTGCTGTCTGTAAGTTTCTACGGAGCATGTGGAATGACCAGAACAATTTCGTTAAATAGGATTCAAATAAACACAACTATACCTCCAGTTTTAAAACCCCTTGTGCAAATTTGCTAAACTAATAGATAAGGGTATTCAAATACTTTGAATTGGACAACGCTCTCATTGCAACCAACCAGAAATGCCTCCCATCATACCAGCGACATTCACGAAGTGCTTACAAGTAGAGTCACTACAATTAAATTAGTCAGCAATTAGAGTGCTTCTATTAATGAAATTAAAATGTTCTTATTCGCTGTTAAATTTCTATATAAATTTCAATTTAAAACTAACAGTCATAGCAATTTGTCCACTTCGAAAGTTAAGCAAAACATCTAACAAACGCGACAAACGTTTTTATAAACTCTCCAGAGCCGACGTATCCCTATTCATAAACCAACACGTTAAATCACTTATACGAATCGAGAATCTTGATAGCAGACAAAATAGTACAGGAGAAATATTTTCCACGGTGGAGATTTACCAATTCTAATTTCGCGCTTGCATGAATCACAGTCTGATTAATCTTCTCTCCTCGACGCATAAAGTGAACAAATATTAATGGAAAGATGCGACTATGCAATCGTATATTGATCCAATACATTTTAAAACATCAGTTTTCTTTTTATACGAAGAATATTTCATTTGCATTTATTTCTTTTCCTACATTGCCACATTGTCTTGAGTCTTATAACTTTTCACAACCTGCTTTACCATATCTCATTGTGTAAGTATGCACCTCAACTAAGCCAGACTGAGACGACCTTCAGCTACTTTCATTAACTAAGAAGGTAATATTACCTAATATCAAATCGTAATTTACAAGTAAACCCCCGACGTAGGATATCGAAAAATTTGAATCCAAAATGCTACCTAATAAAGGCGTCAATATTTATGTAGATTACATACAGTACACGTTCCTTTTAAAAATGGAACTTCAATAATCTTAAACGTCCCATCTGGCGTTGCTGTCCACGAGTTTTCTATCATGAACCCGATATGTATGAGGCCCCGTTCAGAACATAAATACATTTCTTGAATTTATCAAGTTTTTGCAATATATTTACTGATACATTTGCTTGTTCTTCCCTCCGCAAGGCCCCATAAATGCCAAATATTAAAGCAACCTAAAATAATGACGTTTATACTTGTCAATAATGTCGAGAATAATAATTATGTTACCTTTGTTAATAAATACGTATCATCTGGAGCTTCCGTCATAAACTTGATCACGTCTTCTTTAGACAATACCTTAGCTTTTTTGAACTAATGACCAATGGATTTACTTTTCAAGAATGGCACCAACTTACAATATTTGCCAATATCAACATTTTTCTTGATTAATAACATTTTCTTCATCATGGAGTATTTAGCCCACAAAGAGCTACACTGGTAAGTTTTCGACTAAAAATGAACAAAAAAGGATAACGCTGAGGATAAAAAATAATAAAAAATCATTTTAACATACCTTCTCGCTAAAATGCGCTAGTAAGACGGTTTCACTTATAACTGTCACCTTTTTTCCTTCATCCAGACTTCCCAAGATGAAAACTCCTTTTCATATCGATCTTTAGACTTGCTTGGGATCAAACCCAACACAGCTTCATCAACTAATACTTCGGAGGGAATTTGCTCAGCGTTTACTTCCATTCCGAAATTATGAAAATTTTTGTTTTACAATGTTTGTTTTTTCCTTGGAAACAAGTAACCTTGGCGACGAGAGGCGAATTTAAATCACGTCGTATTTTTCCATCGTTTTTAACCATCTTTAATTAAATTTTGTAGGTTTTCTGCAGTTGTGCGTAAAACGTTGTACATGCCTCGGACCGGAGGAAGATTACGACCTTGGCCTCATAAAGGCCCTCCTTCGTCGGGCCTCAAACTTCGGCCGCGGGCATACTTATACCTCCGGCCCTCTATATGTAAATAACTATTAATTCGTAAAAACACCAATATAAAAATAGGGATTTAACATAAGTTTTATGCAATACCCTGCCCTCCTGTACATTTTACAGAAAAAAACTGTAGAGTTTAAAGTTGTTCGGAATTAAAAGGTACATACAAAACTGTTTTTACATGTTTTATTAAGCTTTTGGTATACCCGCAAATTTAAAAATAAATTTCAACATTTCTGTTGTTATTAGTAGCAATTCATAAAACAACAACAGTCATGGCTATTGCTACTAATAACAGAAATGTTGAAATTTATTTTTAAATTTGCGGGTATACCAAAAGCTTAATAATAAAACATGTAAAACCAGTTTTGTAAGCACCTTTTAATTCTGACTTCTGTCAGAATTGCTTTCAAGGTTTCTACTCGTGTTATCGATGCTATTTATGCTCAACGTTTCTGAAGTTTTCTTTGCTTCCTTTTTCAAGAGAAAATTTGACTACAGGTGTCAGGAATAAAACTTAATAACTGTAACTAGATCTTAGATTTTCTGCTACGAGTGATCGGTCCTGCGTATATTTGGCTCAAAGATGATATCGGTGAAGTTGCATTCTCGAGCTAAGCAGTTGGAGAAGTCTTAAGAATGGCAAATGAGACTTTGCCGAAACGTCGAAGCATTTCTGGCAGGAGTGGGAACCAGCAGAAAAGAACTTATTTTTACGTTTAACAGTAACATTTGAACATACAAAATAATACATACAGACACATACTCGTATTCATTTAGATAAGGTGTATCGTAACAATTAACTCTCAAATTTAATGAAAAAAATGAAAAACATCTATCTCATGTGCGATGATGTATTAGCATAAAAATATCTTAATGCACTATAATTAGGAAATGTATGTACGAAATGGTCACTTTGAACTGGATTATTAATCATAAAAAATCATGTGGTTCGACAAACGTTGAAATGCCATTAGTTTTTATACTCACATAGTTGTTAAATTTGTACTTAATACCTTACAGTCCCATATATCTCGAAAGTTTATGTTCAACGTCGACTCGATATGCGTTATTTTTACAACCGTCAATCCTCTGAGGCGTTACTAAATCTGTCGGAAATATAACCATCTCAAGGGTTGTTAAGTGGTTTGTTATTTGAGGACTTTCACATTAACGAAATGTATACGATAAGGTTGTAACTGCTGGTATTTAAACAAATCGATCATTGATAATAGTTTATCCCAAGTGAGAAAGATGCAGTTTATGTAATCGTAACTTGTTACATACTACACAGTCGCTAGATATTTTACGGGAACTTCATGTTAGCAACATTAAAATCTACCCTATCGTTTGTGAACGAATCATAGAAGGGTGTAAATAAAATATACACGAGAACATATCCTGGTGGGTCAATGAAAAGATGATCAAATCACTTGTAGTATCGAAACATGTAGTCGAATGAAAATCCAATTAGAAATATGATTTAACTTGTTTGAAACGAATTCCTAAGGAGGTCTTACTAATGGACGTACACCTAGATTTGCTACTAACAAGGTAGTAGTTTATAGAGTAATTTACGTTCCAAATTACTAAACAGTGAATAAAGTTCGTGAATCAAGTACAAGTTGGGGAGTTCTTGATTTCTACATGAACAGTGCCTTGGAAGCATCTAGTGAAAATTTCTTATTGTCAGAGCCATGTGTTCTGGAATATGTCTGAACTTTTAAAAAAGTCCTAATGAATTATTCGGCGTATGAGAGATGAGAGTGTGAAGTAGGAAAAATCGAACATTTCCGATATATCTTTTTGTAGCGAGGGTGCTTAAAGCTTTTTTGGCGTTAACGAGGAGTCTGGTTTTAAAACTGCCAATTTTGACACAATCCTAATTCATTAATTTCTAATTTCGCATGAGGCAAAATTATTTATTCATTTATTCTATTTTATATAATAATAATAATAATAATATTTATTGTGCAGAAAGCTATACACAAAAGATAGGAGTTCAGCTTATAGCTGTTCTTCCACTCCACCAAAAGCAACTGTTACAACAAAGATATATGTAATGAATATCCTTCGTATGAAATCATCTATACTGACGGGTCTAGAACGGAGAGTGGTGTTGGAAGTGCGATGGTGATTGGAGAAGAGTCCTATGAATGGAGTTTATGTTCGTGGTCCTCAATTCGCTTTGCCGAACAATATGCGCTGTGGCAGGCGTTGTTATATTGCTCCATCGGCGATAGACAAAATGTTATCATCGTCACAGATTGTATGGAAGCAGTGAATGGGATCTCTGAAATATATCCTGTTGGTGCGATGACGAAAAGATGCCAGTCCATTCTCAAGTTCTTAAATGGAAAAGAGGCTATAATTATTATTATATGGGTACCAAGTCATATTGGTATACCTGGAAACGATCAAGCAGACCATGCTGCATGCCAGGCTGCGTTAAGTAATCACATTGATGTTAACCTTATACATCCGTTGGACTTAGGAGAATACCTGAAAAAGAAAAACCGGTTAATGTGGCAACAAAAATGGGCTGAAAGTAACACTCACCTGACCCGAATAAAACCAGATGTACGGAAACTCTATGTGTTAGACCAGGCCACTAGGGAAGAAAATGTAAAAATGCACCGACTGCGAATAGGGCATGCGCAGATAACGCACCAACACATTCTTAAGGGTGAGATTGCCCGACAGTGCGAACGATGTGGGACTACTGTAACCATTCGGCACATAATTCAGGAATGCCCCATGTATAACAACGAAAGGGCGCTGCATAGTTTAAATCGAGAATATGTCGAAAACTTCTGTGCAACGATAAATGCAAAAAGTACCCTAAGTTTTCTAAGAGAAATAGGTATATACAGACAGATCTAAAGTGTAGTGAGAGATTTGGGGGCGCCCTAATTGGGGTAATATGACCATAGCAGTTAATGCCCTCCAAAAAAAAAAAAAAAAAAAAAAAAAAAGTAATTAGACAAGAGGTTACTTATTATGCCTACCTATATCTATACAGCATATAGTTGTAGCAAACGACTTTTTAATTTGTTTCTAATTGTAGGTACACTATTTCCACTTTCTAATATGGACATAAACTCATTTATTAAGCGAGGCGCTAAAATGGCAAATGCACATTGGTACTTAGAAGTACGGTATGGGGGTAAGTATATTATAGAAATACTTATGCCTAGTATTCACACAGTGCAAATCGGACCTTAATTGTAGTAAGTCGTACAGGTAATTTGGATTTTTATGACGTACTACATTATATAGAAGCATGATATATTGAGACGTGAGTGATTCTTTCATTTTAAGGATAGAGTATCTATAATAAAACGGAGTTACATGGTATCTAAAGTTAACATTAAAAGAAAAACGTAAGCAAGAGTTTTGCAGGAGCTGAATTTTGTACTTTAATTCACCAGTTAGGAAAGGGTAGTATACAGCACAACAATAGTAAAAGCGAGTTAATATTAAATTTCGAACAAGAGACCATTTTATAGTAGCTGGCAAAATCTTCTTAAAACTATAAAAGTGCTTAAATTTAACAAATGATGATTGTAACATCATTTTAGTATGTTTTTCAAAGTTCAAGTTACTGTCAAACCATACACCTAGATTCTTTGCCTCTTCAGAGAATTCTATTTCGATATTGTTTATAGATATCCGCACAGTGAGATGTTCAAAAGCACGTACGCGCATAGCACTAGAACCAACACACATAGCTATTGTTTTTGAAGGATTGATTATCAGTCCGTTAGCAGTCGACCAATCAGATATCCGTTGGAGATTGAGGTTGATAGATTGTATAGCTTCATTAATTTTATGTGGAGAGGAAGAGGCGTACAGCTGAGTGTCGTCAGCATATTGAAGTAATTTACAATCGGGAGTAGTTACTGATGGTAAGTCAGAGATGAAAACGATAAACAGAAGAGGCCCAAGGATGCTGCCCTGCGGTACTCCTTTGATGACACTCATTTCATCAGACATCACGTTGTACATCTTGACACACTGAGCCCTGTTACACAGGTAGCTTCTAAACCATATTAAAGCGCTATCAGAAAGCCCGTAATATGCAAGTTTCGCAAGTAGCAATTCGTGATTAATTACATCAAAAGCTTTGCTGTAGTCAAGGAGTATAAGTACATTGACTTCCATTTTATCTATACTGGCTGCAAAGTCGTTGGTTAGTTTTAGAAGAGCCGAGTTTGTGCTGCGGAATGGTCTGAAGCCAGATTGTACATCGGGTATTACATAGCGTTCAACATGGCTATATAACTGTTGATGTACCACTTTTTCCAATATTTTAGATAAAGTTGGTAAAATACTGATAGGTCTAAGATCGTTCATGTTTGCTGGGTTAGAGGTTTTAGGAACAGGGATTATGATAGATTTCTTCCATATGCTGGGCACGACAGATAAAGACAACGAAGTATTAAGAATATGTGTTATATGATTTATGCAATAAGGGGCAATAATTTTTAGAAGTTTTAGGCGAATGTTATCTATTCCGTTCGCGTTTGATGACAGTGAACAGATTATTTTCGTTATGACATCACCACTGACTTCATTAAAAACAAACTTGTTCACGCCACTTTTACTGTTGTTATTAAAGAAATGAATGAGATTATTATCAACAACCGGAGAGACAATAGAAGTTATAAAATGACGGTTAAGATCGTTAGGATGACACAGATCGGGTGGAAGCGATGGTTTGTTTGTTCGATGAATGTTAAATTTATCAAGGTACTGCCAAAGCTTCTTAGGATTGTTCTCGTTCTCCTTTAGAACATACTTAATAAAACTTGCTTTCTCTCTTCGAATAGCTGCAGTAACCAAATTCCTCATGCTTTTAAACCAGTTGAAATCACTTAATGATTTGGTTTTTAAGAACTTTTTATAAGCCTTTTCTTTTAAGCGGATCATTTCAGTTATAGTGTCAGTTATGTAAGGCTGCCGGCATCTCTTACCAATGGTTATTGTCTTATATGGAGCATGCATGTCGAAGAGAAACAATATAGCTTCATTCAAAAAGGATATTTTATCATCAATTCCCGCTAATTCATAAATATGATCCCAATGCATGCTGATACAATCACGAGCGAAGAGTGCAGGATCAAACAAACTGAAATCACGATAGCTGATTTTCACCTGGTTATTCTCACGAACAGGAACCTTTATTTCACAGTAAGTTAGTCGGTGATCAGTCATATGCAACATGTCAACAGTACCCATATTCTCAACTTCTATTTCCTTACTGATGCAAATTAAATCTAACAGCGTGTGTGAACTAGCAGTCACTCGAGTAGGTTCATCCATTATCTGATGCATTTGAAACATATTAAGTATATCCATGAGACGATTATGTTCTTGCGTGTCAGATTTATACATATCAATATTCAAGTCGCCAACAAGTATAGGTTGTTCTACATGTAAGTATATATCGGACAGCGTGGACTCTAAGTCATCCAACGATTTATTACGAGTAGATTGATCAGGCGGTATGTACACTACTCCAAAACCAAAGTTTACTTTATTAATTTCAATTTTTATCCATAACTGCTCCAATTTACTGCTGTGGCAAGGCGGGGTGCTTATAACCTTGTATTTGATGTTTGAGCTAACGTACCAGCACACTCCCCACCTCGTGACGGCCTATCACTACGAATAAGAGAGTAATTTGGCAGACCATATAAGTAATTAGGCATGTTAGACGAGAGCCAGGTTTCTGAAATGGCAACTAAATGAAAATTCTCCTTATTAATATAGTCGCAAAATTCGTGGTAACAAGAATTCAGTGATCGGATATTGACATGACATACACGAAGGCGTTGATGCTTAGGAAGTTTCACACCATTGTTGTTGCTTCGCATTTTGTTATTATGGCTCCTGATATGGTTGTGATGCATGCTGGTACTTATTAATATGTGCTTTGGACACTTTCTGTCGATACCGAACGCTCCAGAGAAAACTCTTCACCTGAATCTGCTGAAGAAACAATTTTTCCTTCTGCTAAGAGGTCTCGTTTTAGGTAGTTGATTAGTCTCTTACACCTTTCTTTAATAGATCGTTGTGAAAAGAACGAGGTGACAAGCTTGATTAATGAGATTAGGTCATCAATTTGTTGCGTGTAATTTCTGGCGAATTCTAGGGGTTTGTTGTTGCCTTTTACTTTGCTTAAAAAGTCCGTAAACGTGTAGTCAATGACACGGTCATCATTACTCCATACGTGCTCAATTTCTTCATAGTTTTCTGTAACCTGGGACGCTCTCAGTGAGGGCGTCTGGTCTACTAGCCTCTTCTTCATTTTTGTAGGTGGACGAGCAAACTTAGTGGGTTCCACTGGGAAAGAGTCATGTATAGGGGTTGAGATACTGGAGGGTCGGCTTGTTCTGTTGCAATGTTGCCTTCCGTTGATGCAGCACTTTCGTCATAATCGAAGGTTGGGGCGCTAATCAAAGACGTGGGAGTTGAAACAGGACGAGGTCGCTTATTCGATTCAATTATTGCAGTTACTATCTGCTCGGTCTCGCTATTGGGTACAGTCCTGGTGCATTTGGTCGCAATGTGGCCAATTTCCTTGCATTTGAAACATTTAATCTTATCGTCGGATATGAAGATTCGGTACTCCTCGTCCTCGAACTCGATAACGATGGATGCTGGAATTTCTAATCCCTCATTGGGATCACAAGCAACGAAAACTTGACGACGGAAGCTGTATACGTGTGTATACCCTTCCATTCCTATACCAGCTCCTATGAAAGACATTGGCGACAATAATTTTAAATTTTGATGTTTTAGTTCTTGTTCTATTATGAAATGAGGGATGCAGGGTGACACGTTAGACAGTACAATCCTTTTGGCAGGCAGTATCAACTTTCTTGCCGGCACAAATATGTGATTGATATTAATACCACCTTCATTTTCAATGAACGTTTGTACTAACTGCTTAGACGCAAAGTAAATACATATTCTATTATTGCTCATTCTGGATGCAAAAAGAATGTTTTTTGAACCAATGATTTGGCCAGTAGCAAGTACATAATCCTTGACGGCGAGGCCTTCAATGACAGGAAAGATTACGGCTTGATTTTTTCGCGGGAAGGCTGATGCAGAAACAACATTGGAAAACGATCTTGGTTTATCAGTAGGTACTTTTATTGATTCCTCCTGGTCCCCCCTGTTGTCAGAAGGGCCCGGTGTTGTGGCAGGTGATGCCATTATAAGTATGGATAAAGTAGTTTATTTTTGGGAAATACAGTAAGAGGTGACATTGATAATAGAGGACACTTTCAATTGTAAGTTAAAAGGTGATAAGGTCACGAGCGTATCGTCTAGCGAAAGAATGTTATCGTTACCTTGATTTGGCCGCGTATCGTCTATATAATCACTGTGAAGTCCCGAAACTGTTGTTTTGAGGCGTACCACGCCAGTAAGATTAATTTTCAGAAACAAAACACCTCGTATTTAAGAACTATTTTAGATTATAATCCTTTTTATAAGCACCCAAATGAGAGTATTAATTGGACTTTATGGCACAGAACTGTCAAAAATTGCCTAGCAACGATACTGCCACTCGCAAAACTTGCTGTATTCTTTTTCATATAGATCTTTGGATTTATGAGGAACCACTTTACTTTGTGCGATTTCGAATTCACGTAATATTTCGTCAGAATAAACGTTTTCCATTTCAGCTACACTCATTTCCAACAGCGTTGGTCATTGTTTGATAAAAAGTAAACAGTCTCAGTATCCATAGCAACACAAAAAACGCGAACTATCTACACCACTCATATTTGGTGAGCGACAAATTCCTGCAAGAACTACTAATCTCTTTTAACTTTTTAGAAATTGTGCTAAAATAGAATAAAACGTTGTATGTACCACGGGCATAATCGATTATGACCCTAAAGAAATTAAAAGCCCTCCTTC